ATGGGCATAGAGCTTTTGAAGGAATTTCCTAGAGGAATCAGGCCCTGGGTCGCTCACGTGTCGACTCCAGTACCTCCACATTTGACGAAAACTGTGAACTTCTAGTCTCTATCTACCTTGATTCAAGGCTAGAATCTGCAACTTTCATCTGCAAATTGTCTCATCAAGTGACAGAAAAGTTCCGCTTTTTTCCCAAGAATGAAATCACCTTCCCTCCTTTCCCATCCTATTCCCACTCCCCTCCCTTTCCCTGAACAACGCTTCGCACTAACGATAAGAAGAAGAAAGATTTCGGGAAAACCAATCCAACAATTTTTTTCAAACGCCTGTTACTCACTATCCGGTCATGTTTACCCAAAATTCGCCAATTACTATTCAAAATTCAATAAACCCACAAGTTGCCTTCGAAATCCATCCAATTCAATTTACTTTCTCTCTGCGCGTGAAACTCATTTGTTTTTCAGTGAAGCTGAACTTCTTTCTCTGACAGTGCCTCATCTGTTGAGTGTAATTTAACTTCGTTATCGGTTCGGCCAATATTTGCTTTGCATTCGATGCTGCTGCGAGCATGCGAGAAAATCCCGATATTTTTCCTATCCCAGATTAATACCCACCCACTCTGACGCTATCGAGAGTGGAATGGTTTTCAATTAAAACTTGGCCGATTTAGAATCAAATAGAGAGTTTTGCTATAGTTTTAGAGTATAGATTTTCCGACCAACTATTTTATGGGTGCTGTAAAAAAAAAAGTTACAAAAATACCTTACACGCAATAAAAAAACGGAAAACAAAAACTCCATAAAAATTTCAAATTAACTCAATAACGTAACATGAAGTTACCAGCTTTGAATCTGCATTTGCACATAAAACTATATTATGTGCCTCAAGCATTAAAATTTAACGTTTCACTACATAATAAAATATTTCTACTTTTGATTTTAAATTGGAAAAAACACGTAGAAATTTCCAAGAAAAATTCAGTCAAACAAAAAACTGAATTACTCGAAAACGAATAAGCGTTATTGCTGTCTGGGAAACTCTCATATGTTCTCGAATTTATAAAATATCCATCGCACTATACAAAATGAAATTCGAGTGAATATGGATCCCCTGTAGTGCTTCTCGTAATCTCATATTTATGTAAATGGGACATTTTAAAATAAATAAATATTTTAAGCGATCCCTACGCTATACTTTTGATAATAAAGTTTAGATAGTCTGGATGCTGGTGGTAGTTTTTGAGTTCGTGTGGATAAAAGGAATTTTTTTTTTTTTTAGGGAATGGCCCTAATATTCTTATCCGTTTTCAATATCGAGGCAAAATTTCAAACTTCCCTCAACAAAATCAATTTAGAATAATAAACTGTTCGAAGTTTTTGCATAATTTGTATAATATGCATGCAAAATTGTTTTATGTATTCAAATTTTAAACCGAAGGTTTTCAGTGCTGTTACACACGAGAAAATATTAACCCTCGAACTGCATAAAATATTGCACCCTAACAATGGAATCGAAATCATTAAGGATTCCTATTTATTCCTGTTAAGACCGAACTCATCCATATAAACCCAACGTAATGCACGGCATAATCCTGAATGCCCGGAACCCTTCCAGATATAAATGATTGGTTTGCGAGCCTCTTTATTAGTAGTAGTAGTAATGCACTTCCTAATAGATTATCATGTTCGTCGAAAGCTGAGAGCTATTATAATCTAGCCCAATGTCATTTACTAGGGATTAAATTTATTACTGGTGCTATAATGTACCTACCTATAGTGCTTGCAAGAGTTAGTTTGTTTGAAAAATATATGTAATTCATAATATTCATCGAATGCTTTGAAATATTTTGTGAAAGTGACTATTTCTGCCGGGAAAGCAATTGAAGATATTATCAAGCATTACGATCATGCAGCATTACGGCTGCAGGATCATATCGATATTCGATATAAGATAATGCTGATGTAAGTTGGAACCGGAATCTTTTTGTTTACGTCGCAATAATATGTTTCCATAGACTGCGGAGACATTGAAAACAAACTAAAGACCAATGGCTAGCCTGACAATTAACTCAATCAAAATTACTAAGGACAAAAAAGTATGAATAACAACTGATAAAGACGTAGACGCTATCACAGGAGAGATAGAAGACTCAGGAACAGACATCAGGGTACGCATGGGTAAAGACCAAATGATAGGAATCCACATAAGAGGCCTAGATGCAACGACAACCAGAGAAGAAGTCATCAATGACATAGAACAGCTTGTGGGTAAAAGACGGATGAGGACAAACTCAAACTAGTAAACTTAGGGCCGGACACAGGTAACACACAAGCACTAACCTTAACGCTTAAAAAAGACAAGACCGAAGACCTTTTGAAGTATATACCTTCATCCGCATTGGACTATCTAGATGCCGCCCGGAAAGAAAGATCTTTGTACCACGCTAGGGCAAATGCTGGGAATACAACCACTACAGCAATGACTGCACTGATGCAGATAGGAGAAACCTGCAATGATGAGGAAACATGCGTTATCTGCAAGGAAAACGGCCACAAAGCGGGAGCTGGAAAATGTCAGGTTTTTAGAAGGGCATTTTCCACAGCCAAAAAGGCAGCAAGGGGCAGTAATACAGACACAAAATGGACTCAATAAATACCAACATCAATACCAAGCCCATCAAGATCATCCAAGTGAATCTTAACCGCTGTCATGCTGCCCATGACCTGCTAGCAGCTACCATCATAGAGCTAGATATAGACTAAGTTGCAGCTTCTGAACCAAACCAATATGAAATTAAAAAATCAAACTGGAACTCCGACTTAAATAATGACGCCGCTCTCAAAGTACGCAACCGCAACATTCCCTCTGTAAACACTCAGTCTGGACCGGGGTTCGCATGCATTGAACTGAAAGACTACATAATTTACAGCTGCTATTATTCCCCAAACGCAAGCATGGAAGAATTCGAACTGGCAGTGGACGCACTGGGAGAAGCTCTCGACAAAAGCAACAAGGATGCCTTAATTATGGGAGACTTTAACGCCTCTTCACCAGACTGGAGAATGCCAAGGACTAACACCAACCGAAGAGGCGTGGTACTCTCGGAGTTCAGGGCCTCAAAGGATCTAGTTATACCAAACAGAGGGCAGGACGCTATTTTTCAGAGAGGTGAGGCTAGTTCCATAGTAGATCTCACCATGAGCAGAGGTAGAATTGCAGACAGGAGACAATGAGTGACCACCAATACATCTACTTTGAGGTAACCAGTGAAACTTGAAGCAAGCCATCAAACATAATGCAGAAGCACTGGAACCCCAAGAAATTGGACCTGAAAAAGATGGATGAATTCGGGTGCATTAAATAGCTATCTGCCAAACAACGCAGAACAACTAAATCTAGCCTTGCACAAGATCTGCGATGCGTCAATGCCTCTATTTAACAAAAACCCTAATAGAAGGCCAGTTTATTGGTGGTCACAAGACATTGCTAATTTGAGAAAGACCCGCCTTAAATCTAAAAGAAAGATGACCAGAAGCAACCGCAGACAATCCACAAGAAATAAGGCAGACAGAGAACAATACGCGAGGCAGAAAAAAGAACTAAAGCTAGCCGTCTTGAACGCTAAAAGAAACTGCTGGAGGAAGTTATGCGAGGAAATAAATGAAAACTGCTGGGGAGAGGGCTACAAGATTGCTACTAGTAGGCTAAGAATAAATCTGATAAGTCGCGCTCTGACTATGGAACGTGCTATAAAAACGGCAAAGGAGCTTTTTCCAACAAGACCCCAAACGTCATGGACACGATCTCATAGTACAAGATATGCAAGATCTCACAAACGAGGAAATTGTAAAAGCGAGTCTTAAACTAAAACCGCACAGGGCTCCCGGACTAGATGGCGTGCCAGTAGATATCTTGAAAGCGGCTTCAACCAAGTTTCCAAATTTGTTCGGGGCATTTGACTCCATCCTGAAAAGTGGAGAATTTCCTACGGTCTGGAAAAAGGTCAAATTGGTCCTCATCGAGAAGCCCAAGAAATCCCCACAGGAGAAACAAAACTTCAGACCTCTGTGCCTCTTGAATACATCTAGTAAGCTCCTAGAGCACATAATACTCTCCAGACTATCAGAAGATCTGAACCTCGCAGTCTCCCTTTCAGACAGACAATTTGGCTTCAGACGCGGCAAGTCAACGTCCATGGCGATTCGAAGTACATTTGACATAATAAAGAACGGCATCTATATCCTGTTCACAATCCGATGTCCACAGGTGCAGGTACATTTATCACCTTTCCCTATCAAATAGCATTGAAAGGTGGTAAATTTTACCGGTACCAGTGGACATCGGATTGTGAACGGATAATACAAGCGAAGCCACAGGCACAGAAAAATAGGAACTATCATAACCTTAGACATCAAAAACGCCTTTAACTTGTAAAGGCGCTTTTTATACGGAAGCGAAGTAGTTCGGTAATCGGTTTCTTATCCTACGGTTATCTCAGGCGCCACCCTCAGGATTAATGTGGTTGAGGGCCCACGTGCACCAGGTAGCTTGTTACAGTGGAGAAACGGTAACCCAGGGGTCACATCAGACGTTATTGCTCAACCTGACTACGTCTCAAAATAAAACCCTGAAAATTCCCTTCAAAACTCCGTGTTAAAATTAAACACCAAATGCGGTAATAGCACAAATTGTATTAACATAATAAAACAGACTAAAATATTATTAATAACCCAACCCAAAATATAGCAATCAATAATGCGAGCGAGAGTGAGAGAGTGAGTACGATCGGTGTGTGCGAATATGTGAGAAAACCGGGGAGGTAAGCGGATATAAATGGTAAGCAATGATGTTAATAGCGGAATACTAAAAATGTAGCGGTGACGGTTAAAATAATGAGGCAGGCAAAAAGCTCCGGCGGTTTTGTCAAGCGCGGAAAACACCAAAGTAACAGTCCCTTTAACCTTTAATAAATAATGACCACGGAAAGTATTTTATACAAGCTCCCAATCGGAAAATCACTCGGGCATCAACCAAGAGTGAAGGAAAAACAATCACCCGGTCATCAACCAAGGGTGAAGAAAAGAATGCATTCGGCCATCAACCAAGAATGCAAGAAAGACAGACCACCTGGTAATCAACCAAGAGCGGAGAAAGACAGGCACCCGGGCATCAACCAAGGGTGAAGAAAAAGAATGCATTCGGCCATCAACCAAGAATGCATGAAAGACAGGCCACCCGGAAAACACCCAAGAGTGGAGAAAGACGGTCACCCGGACATCAACCAGGGGTGAAGAAAAAGGAGCAAGTATAAAACTATCTCTTACCACATCCTTACCCAACCTGAAACGCGGCTCGCGGCACTCTGGGAACTGTTACTGGGCGATCCCACTGGCTTACCTCGGTGTTGGCTTCGGCTGGTCGGTGCGGTGTTCTAGTCTTGAAGCTGGCTGGCTGCTGTCGGCGGACTCCCAGTTTTGCAGAGCTCGCCGCCTTAAATATGGGTGAGCGGCGGCCGGCGTCACATGTTAAGTCAGTGGGGAACCGAGCATGACCAAAAGACCACAGCGCTTCCCCAAGCAAGCGATGCGTCTGCTGGCGGCGGCAGGAAATCGTACACTTAATTCGAGATCACGCGTAAAATTAATAATTTATTTGAGGATTGAAAATAATATTATTGAAATATGCATTTGAACTCGCGGTACCTTTTAAAACAAAAGAAAAATTACGTAACGTCGTTACAAACTCCGCTCCATGGATGGAAACTGTAGAGGAAATTAAAAAAAGGGGAGCAGCCCCATACTTGGTCAAGCTCATCCAAAGCTACCTGTCCAGAAGGGAAATCATCATCGAAGCAGAAAACAGAAGAGAGAGTATACAAATGACATGTGGCGTGTCACAAAAGTCGATCCTGGGCCCGACATTATGGAATATACTGGCCGAGTTCGTTTTTGTCATCTTTTTCGTCGATTTCCTCCGAAATTTTGACAGACACATGATTTGTAACTTGAAATTGTCTTATTCAGTCACGTGCCTGTCAAAACTTCAGAGCAAATCGACGAAAAAGATGACAAAAACGAACTCGGCCACTGTATGACGGCCAAAAATGTCTATAATCATCCAGATTATCGTACCAGGTTTTCGCTGAACCAGCTAGCCTACTTTGCATGTGACAAATCACAACTTTTTCGTCCCACTGATTTATATGAGCCAGCTGATCTATTTTATCCAACCACCTGATGCAGCTTCCATTTTCATTTGCTGGATTGAATTCACGAATGCAATTTGAAGTCGCTGTTAATTTTGTGTGATGTTTGTCACCTTCCTTGCTCAAAAGTTGGTTCACAAGATTTTCCCAGCTGCTCAATTCGTAGTTGCTGAGCTGCAAAAGTTGAATCGGTAGTGTGATGTGAGCTTCTACTTCAATAGGGGCTGCGCACAACGTTTGCGTCATGCACAATAGAGTGACGTAACACAATCACGTTCGCACAACCGCGTACTAACGCGATAAGACTGGCGCTCTGTCATACCCGTTGGTCGCCTACTTTTTTTGGTAGAGGTTGATTCAACACATACAGCTTTGACATTTTCAGTGTCATCCAAATTTAGAGGAATTAGCGAGACATCAGTATCCGAGATATTTCCACGTCGACTATCTCGAGGAACGTCGTGAATCTCCGCCAAATCAGTACGATGCAAACTTGCTCTTTCAGAAAACACTGGTGTCGAACTAACATGTCTAGAGTCTAGCGTACTTACATTATATTTTTTCTTTGGTCTTTTTGTATACCGTTTGTACCTGCCAGCAACGTGATTGCTAGCACTGGAAGAGGTTGAGGAACTAGAACTAGAACTCGGAGAACTTGGCGCACGGCACCTCCGTTTAGTACGTCCCATTGTTTTTTTTTGTCACTCGGCCCTCGCCTCGTAGGACTAGACTGAGGCCGTACATAAAGGTTCAAGGTCCATGTTTGCTATTTTGATAGATAGGTGCGTTACAGGACGTTGAAACGTTCGATGTATTGTCTGTCGATTTTAATCTGATACTCCAAAGGAATGTGAGCTGGTGGTTCCCTACGTTAGAACGCCAATGGTCACCTGACGTCACATCTGTTTTTGCCATATGCTTCACCCCCTCGCTCCTCATACGAAAAGTGTCAGATTAAAAACGACGGACAATAGCATGTAAAGTAAAAGAAAAATGGGGGAAATTAAAAAAGTAGGAAACATTTTTTAACCACATGGAATATATATTATTCCAAATGAGAAACCTATTCAACAATACACCATACCGGCTCGAAAACTTATTTCTGAGATGGTTAAAACAGTAACGTTAGGTTTAAATAATAATAACCAGTAGAAATGGAACACAAAAGCAAATGTCTCAAGCATAAATGAAAATATCGGAAGAGTCTCCTATAAATCTGAACCCTGGTGAGATGGAATTTATTACATTTGCTTAGAGTCCTAGCAACACTAAAAAAAAAAAACTAGCGTTTTCATGGAAAAATTCGGTTCCATAACGGCGTCCATAAAAAGTGCATAACTCACGGGGCCGCGGCGATAAATTAAAAATTGTCGCTCTCGAAAACGATTTATTGGCCCACCTGCACACATGCAGCGACAAAAAGGGAGAAAACAGCACTCCGACTGCATCTGCATGCAGTCAGTCATAAAAACATGGCATACAAACTATGAGATTTTTAAGCAAATTTAACCAGAATAGTAACGTTGCAAAAATATCAAATCCCTTTTTTTTCAAAAAATCATTGTTTTTGGAAACTTGCAATAGGAACTCCATCGATCTGGTTGTTGAAGTAAAAAATAAATAAATAAATTCCGAACATAAAAAAGTTCCTAAACCTAATTGAACAAATGCATAAATTATAAATTACAAAATTTCGTAAACCAACAACATAAAAACGTAATATTCTAGAATGAAATATATTTCAAACGAGTCCAATTAAAGTATAATTGCAAAACCCAAAATTGTTTCCGGTGCATACTATACGAAATTTTATTTTGTAAGAAGCGCAATACAGGCGAACAATTAAAATTTATAATATCTTGTATCCATAATTTTAAAATCAATTAAACGAAATAAACACGTCTGCACGAGCCACTTTAAAGCATAAATCAAAAACTACATTAAATAACTGAACACAGTAACATGTTCTATTCATGGCCCCATAGTTTCGTAGCAAGATAAAACTTTGGCCAAATGGACAAAGTTTAAAATTTATTCGATTTAAAACAGTGGATTGTGGTGGCTTTAGAGGAAAATGGCCAGCACCAATGGATAGAGTTCGTTGTGTAGTCAGGAAGTTCTCTCATGTTGGCGGTTATGAATAAATATGATTGAAGAAGATAAATATGTTCCTCGTGGAGTTTGTAGGGTAATTTTCAAAGAAATAAAAATTGATGAAAGCGATTTTTGTACAGGTTTAATGTGTGTTTTACGTAGGGGATCAAAATAATCAATAATTTGTCCTGACTTTACAAGATTTGGAAGCTGCTGCATGGTTTCTTTGATTTGTGGTAATGACGGAACCAGTGAAAACTAAAGTTGGAAAGTTGGACTGAGAAATTTTCACCAAGGCATACCTGTAGTAGACAAATAAATTTGTCACCTTCAATGAGCATGAAGCAAAAAACCCTATATCGCACAATCAGAAACAAATCCGCCACCTTGGATTGAGAAAAAATTTGAATAGGTTATTATTGGAAGAACAGCTGTCCAAGTTATCTGCTTTTAGTTGACATTAAACCTATTAAAACTAAGTTTCTAGAGGAAAAAGTATGTTTGATGGGGTCGAATTTGGTTTTTGACCAATGAGATAGTCAACTGATTCAGCAATTATGGCAACAATTGTATTTTGTTCTGATACAATATTTTGTGATACTGGAACTTATTTAGAATCAGAAGCAAATTGGACAAAACACGAGCTACGAACAATCTTCACTCTGTAACTTAATAAACTCACTTTAATCACCATCACTTATTTTGGGATTTATACCTAAAAAGAAACACAGCTGAAATATATACCAGATGCAAAGGAGACTGTTATTTCATAGACCCCTGCCCGTTTCCAACTAGCCCGCACATTTCTAATGATCCCCATTTTCGTGGAGTATGGGCATAGAGCTTTTGAAGGGATTTTCTAGAGGAATCAGGTCCCTCACGTGTCGACTTTAGTACCTCCACATTTGTTGGAAACTGTGAATTTCTAGGCTCTATCTACCTCTATTCAAGGCTAGAATCTGCAACTTCCATCGTCGGCTATGGTACTCCAACGTTTTCGTTGGAATTAAAGCTTGCATAGTTTCATTAGTAACTTTTAATTTTTTTATGAAATTATGAAAAAAGACCTTGCGCTCTTTTGACCTTGCACTCTTTTGTCCGTGCGCTCTTTTGTCCATGCGCTATTTTGATCTGCGCTCTTTTGACCTGCGCTCTTTTAACCTGCGCTCTTTTGTACCAGATCCATTATTGCTAACCTAGAAAGGCAACTCCAAAAGCTTAAAGAAAATATTGAAAATAATGCACCAACGTATGTACAGGATAGGTTGTAGCAGACACTTCAGAGTTTAGAACAAAAAGAACATCCAAATGTACAGATAACATAAGAAACTACACCACCCCTACTAAAAATAACATCTGTGTTGAACCAACTTTGCTCGAACTATCTGAACGAGAAAAGCGTGCCTCAAACGTATTTCTCTTTGGAATAGAAGTAAATAATTCTCCACAAAAAAGAAAAAAAAAACTGTGATCCGGACAAGGCAGTGAACATGTTAAAAAAAAAATGAGAATCATGACCTTATCTTCTTCAATAGCTAGAGAAATTTCAAGAAATAAGGCAAAACCTAATGAAGAAAATATATATTCCAAAATAGAACATATACACCTCTTCAAAGGCCATACTCAAAAATCTGAAAGAGCGAAAGCAAAATGGATAAATGAATACATTAACAATGTTCCAAAAATAGTTTTCTCTCAGAAATAGGAAAGAAAAAATACAAAAAACCAAACGTGTCCCTTGTTGAAGTCTGCTTTTGGTAAAGCAATATGTGTTCTATGCTAAATAAGCTCGATGAACTGAAAGCTAGCATCCAAAACACCAATGCTCATG